CCTTCTCTCGCAGCGCATCGATGTTGTGATTTGACATTTTGGAGATATCAAATCGCGTATAGTAAATTTGACTCCAAGGAGAGACTATGAAAGAAGAAATTATATATAAATGCTTGGATTTCAATACTTGTTCAAGATTTAATGAAAAAAGATTTTATTAGCTTCAATCTACTTCTAAGTTAATCAGCTTCCAGATATTCTAAATACTGTTTAATAAAAGATTATCTTGATTAATCGGACTATTATTTTTCGGTTTACATGCCAAATTCATGTGAGAATGGCAGAAATGAAATAGAGACAGAATATTAATTAGGATTCGAAACACCATTAATGCACATCGCTTCTCTTTCTAGTGTTTCAACGGAGAGAAAGTCATCTGATCATTAGGCGTGCGTCCCTCTTGTCCTCGCCACTCCTAGGAGGCAAGCTACTCTTCCTCTCTTTTCAGGACTCCACTGTATAGGAATCTCTGGCTCTAACTTGCCAAACCCACCGGGCTTGGTTTATTTTGCAGGAGAGAATTTTTGTACGGCCTGAACATCACTTCTCCAGTATCTCCTTCCTTTGTTGCTAGTGAATTTTCATATTATGTAGTAATCGAAACAGGGTCGACCCCGTTTTAGCCACCATTAATGTATTAGTAGTACTGTAATCAAAGGGCTTATTGATCAGTAGTGGAGGTCTTGAAATAGCATTTTGATCACGCATCTCTCTCCTTTTCCAATCAATCAATGAACAAGAAACCTTTATGCGAGAGATCTGATCTCATTTTTTTCAAAATTATGAAGTTTGAATAAAACCCTTTACAGAAAGCAATGAAAAAAGCTCATATTCGATCCAGTTTAGAATCATAATCATTGTTTCATATGCTAATAGATAGAGATCAGTGCTAATTATTGAATAAGCTTTATTAATTATTAGGACACTTCGGATCGGCTTTAACGCATCAATTAAGTCTCTATGATAATTTAAGTGATTGCGAAATGAGAAGATCATTCTCGAAATTTCCATGAGCACTAGAGCAGTGTTTATAATAGCATGACACGATTTCCAGTATATGGAAACAGCTAGCTTGCATGCATGCATGTGTTATAACAAGGATAGGAACAAATATTCGGTCCTGATAATCCTGGTAAAAGATTTTTTTTCCTCGGAATCATGAATCAAAGGGGCCAACTACCTTGCAATTTAGGTAGGGACTATTAATTCAATTTGATAGAACAGATGTATGGCCCTTGATTGCAGAGAGTCACAGGCAATTGTATAGGAATCTATAAAAACATATTTACATTGACAGGGATGAATCAAAACTCCTGACCTAGCTTAGTTGTAGAGACATTCACAAGCCTTTGACTCCATCACCTCCTCTTATTAATTACTGGTGAGCCTAGCAGGGGTGTTCGCTGATAGGACATCATAGCAACCCCTCATTATTTCATTTGAAGAAGGGTAGTTTTTCACTCAGTTTTTTTTTAAGAAAATGAGAAGAAATAGATTCTTGAACACTAGTTTGTGTTTCCTGTTTTCCTGCTAGTTATGAATTTAGTGATTGCTTAGAAATGTGTTTCAGTTTAATTTTTAAAAGTGCTTTTTTTTTTCTAATTAGAATTATATCAAAATAATATATTTTTTATTTTAAAAAAAATATTATTTTTGACATTAATACATTAAAATAATCTAAAAATTAATAATTTAAAACTAAAAAAATTCATTTTTTTTTAAAAATACATTATTATCACAATCTCAAACACTACCTTAAATTTATTAGATCTTGAAGACCACATATTTCATTTCACATGTGGATTTTTTTGTGGGCTTATGGGAGCATAAACTTAGATAAAGAGGGAGTGTTTATTTTTGTTTTTCAAATTATTTTTTGTTAAGGTTTTTTTTAATAGTTGTGATGTGTCATTATAAAAAAATATTTTAATATAATTTTAATTTTAAATTATTTTTATATAAATACCTTATACTGTATTATCAAACAAACATTGAAATGCGTGCATTTAATTAAACTAACATCGTAGGTCAATGTTATTTTTTTCTTATAAAAAAATAATGTTTTTTCTTATAAAAAAATAATGTATAAGTGTCGTAAATCATTTTGAAGAAAGAAAAAAATTCAATGACTCTGGTTATAGCTTTAGCTAGTTAAATAAGTTGTTTTTATTTTAATAAAATAAAAAAATAGCAATATTAAATAGATAAAAATAAAAAAAATGATAATGATAACTTGGAAAAAATGACAATGTTTGATTTTTAGCCAATTAAACATGAAATTATGTAAAAAATAAATAAAAAATGACATGAATCAACCTGAGTTAATATAAAAAATATGTAACTCGAGCAATAAAAGGCGAGCTAACCTAGGTTATAGGTCATGGGGTTCTAAATCACCCGATAGAAAAGAAATTAAAGAAAATCATAAAGCTATTTTTTTTCTAAAGAAATAAAGGTCAAATGATTAAATTAGAAAAAATTAAAACAAAAAAAAATCAATCTATATTAACTTTTCAAATCTACACATGGCTATATAATCTAAATATAATGGATATCAGCTCGAGCCAACTTGAATGATTGAGTATTTTTTGGATAGTTAACCTACCCAATGAGTGATGGGCAGAGTATAAATACTGTTAAACCTGACCTGAACCCATCCAAAATTAAAATGATCAAAGGGTGAGATTAAAATAAAAAATAACTTGAAAAAAAAAGAAAAAAATAAGGATAAAATTAAAAAAAAATAATATATTATAAATTTGGATTGGAGGATAGAATTAAAAACCAATAAAGAGTTAAGAAAAAAATATAAATCAAAAGCATAAGGACCAATTTGCAAAAAAAAACATATAATAAATTGAAAAAATAAATAATATAATTGAAAATAAATAATTTTTTTATAAAAGAATTAAAAATAAAAATAAAAAATAAAAAATAAAAAGAATAATGACTGGAGTTAAAATATTAACAATAAAAAAGACCAACCTCTTATTTTTTTTAAAAAAAGAAAATAAGAGGAAAAAAAACCCCATTAATGATAAACTATTTGACCACTGTTAACATGTACTGCAATTAAAAAAAAAAACCCAACTATGCATCAAACAACAAGTGGGAGGGTATTTTCCATGTAAATCATATAAAATTATTGTAAAAAGATTAAATCATCCTTAAAGATCAGTAATAACAAAAAAAAATAAAAAAACACTAAAATAAAAAAACTAGGATGCTTCTAGAAGATGCACAACTTAAGTTTTTTTTATTTAAAGGATAAATTCATCATTTTATCATATTTAAGGGATAAAAATACATAAATAGCCATGTGTGTCAATTTAAAAACTTTGATTCGATGGATAATTATATCATTTTACCATGTTTTAAAAATTAAAAAAAGATATTTATACCTTTATTCAATATATTAATAACTAACTGGCACTTGAAAATACCAAAATACTTTCATAACAAAACAATTGATTTTCTTTAGGAATAGCAAAAATATCGTTAATAGTAAAATATATTTGTGGCCATGGTAAACATACCTTCCCTTTGTTATGAACAATAATTATGAAAAAAACTCTTAAAACACTTAATTTTATTTATTTATATGTCAACTTGCTAAATATCATTACAACCCTTTATATATAAAAATTTAAAAACTCCAATAATATTAAATAGAAAAAATAAGCTAGAAAAATTATTCCATTAAAATAGAAAAAGCATTATGATACATGATACAAAAAACAAAATTAACTAAGAAAAATATATATTTTTCTAAAAAACACATGCACTTTAATATAATTATTTTATCAATAAAAAAATTGAAAATATTCTTTATGATATTTAAAAACAAATAGATTTGGTTAAATTTGAAATATAAAAAGAAGAAGATTTAATTAAGATAAAATCAACTAAAAAACTCTAAGCCCTTCATTTAATTTGGAAGGCTAAAATTAAATTATATAATATATCCTGTTAAAACTAACTTGATGAGACCGAATCTGTATAAAACCTTTTATTTTGAACTAATAACCTATAGAATATTAAAGCAATGGTGGAGCCAATTATAAAAAGAAGAAGGGAAGAAAACCTCAAGCACCCGATGTTGGAATGAAAAACAAAAAACAAAGAAGATGCTACATAATTTGAATTTGATGGTATTGACGTGGGTGTTTGATAACGTGGCAGAGGTTTTTATTGCTGGAAAATATATTAAAATAATATTTTTTTATTTT